CGCCACACCAAAAAAAAAATTCAAATTAGATGGGAGTAGGTGGACGAACGAAGCGAAGACGTCATGATTTATTGGATTAGGCATTCTAGAAGGGGAAATGTGAATCCTGACCAAATATCCAAAAGATAAACCAAAGTAGTGGATTGATAGCAACAATGATAGTTGTGAACCATCCAATATGAAAACAACAACGTTAAAAGGCCACCCCACCATTTTGTTCCCACATCCCAATCACTCATTTCAAATTCCCACTTTGACCAACTCTTTCTCCTCCAATTGATTTTTCATTAACCAACTTTGCTGCTATCGATTTCAAAATTGTCGACAAAATATCACTCATTAGGGCACAGGTGCGCTAATGACAACTACAAACATGTCGTTTCCTAGTGCTATTCTCATTCGCCTATCGCTTTCTTAAGTTGATGTTTCACTTCCCGTTTAATTGCTGATTTTGAAGAAATTATAATTATTTCAAAACCATTTAATGTGCAAAGATAGGAGAAGCAAAACAGCTCATTCTTTCATTTTCAATGAAAACACAAGAACCAAATTCAACAAATGATAGATTTGTGCATGAAATTTTTCTGTAAAAATGATGCAACACAAATGGAGCTGGGATAAAAACTCAAGGAGGAAAGCATTACAGGGCTAGTTCTCGAAAATAGCGAATCGACTTCCTTGAACATTCCAAAACTCGAACGTTAAATGTTAGAGTGAACTACAATAAAAGACCAGTCAACATAAAGAAATCTCATACAAACTCAAGTGCACTGTCCAACAAAATGCCCAACAAAAATCTTAAAAAACAACTATTATGTATTATTCCACAACAAACCGTGGCTCTGAAGTAATTGTATGAGCTTGTTACCTCACTTCGCATAACAAGGCAACACGTGAATAATCCACCTATGTAGTGAGGATAGGAGGAAGGTAGTCAGATTTAGTACCAAGAACACGGGCCTTGGTGTCGGGGAAATGCTCAGCTCCTGGTAGCTCCGTAACATCCCCTTCACTGGCCACTCCAATGGGGTAGCGAAGCAAGTGACCAGGCAGATCTCTTTCTAGGCTCTCACTTGAATACAAATCCCAGTATTTATCAGCCATCCGATTCACCTTGCTCACACATTCCTCACTTTCTGGATGTAGAAAGGTTTCATCGAGCATACCAAGGTGCTCGTACCACAATGCCATTCTGAAACCATGAATTTGACCCCTAGCTGGTTCCCTTGTAGCCAAATGATGAGGCTGGTAAGCTCCCATGGCTATTTCAGAATCTCTGGCACCATCCATCGATCTCTGGTTTATGTTGGCCGATCCAACTATGATGTACTCATCATCAACTGTTCAGAAATAAAGTTAGTACTATTATTTTCAAATAATAAGATAGAACTAAAATTGCAAACCATTACTCACCAATCATCATCTTGGAATGGACATAGATCATGAAGCGTCGAGCCTCCTGAGCTCGTATGTAGTCAGAATCAGGCTCTGGGGTCTCAGAAGGTTCATATTCTCCACTCTTCTTCACCTCCCGGTTACCAATGCAGAAAAATGTCAAATAATTCCTGGGATCCTCCTCTATTCCTTTAGCATTCAAGGCCTGAACAATGTGCTTATACATCATCTCCATCGTTCTCCTCTGCCAATCTAATATTGCTTGTACTGAAGCGCTCTCGGGGATTCCTTCTGGCCACATTGGGACCACAACATAAACAGTAAACCTTTCCCCAGCTTCAATCTTACTTACAATCTTCAAAGCAAGTTCCTTTGGAATGACATGCAAAGCACCTATGTCCTCTACCTTGATATCATCACTCTGCCAGTCATAACTGCTTCCAAGAAAATACTGGTTTTCAATGTAAATAAAATTCTTTGCTCGACGAATAGCATGAATATAAGCATCTTGGATGCTTCTATCAATTATGTTATCCTTCCCACTGACAAGACCAGCTTTTGCTGCATCTTCAGGCGTCTCAGGAAAGCCAAAAGCAGCTCCCTCGTCAATAGATCTGAATAACTGAACATTCCATGTTTCAGAATCATCAAGGTGCATCACCGGAGATGGGGGAATTATAATATCATCAAGCTCTCTGAAGTTGACAAGAACATCCTTTCCACCCTGCTTTCTCCACCTCTGTTCAAAATTAAACAGAACATCCCAAGCAATTGGGCCTTCAAGCCGAGAGTGAATGTCATGCCAGGGCTCCCTTGGTCCACCTTTGGTAATTGCTCCATCAGGAAAATTAGGTTGGTGGAAATCATCATGGTGTGCAGTGTCCAATGTCCTAAAAAGTGAATGGAAAGGTGTATCATATCTCCCATCGCAAAGATCAATACCACCCACAAAGCTCAGAATCCTTCTCTTTTCCGACTCTCCGCTGGGAAGCTCACTGTCCACTACCACGATTTTCTGGTGATGCGTAAACATGGTCCCAATTTGTAAACTTTGAACAATGCTTCCGCCGTCATCAGGATTCCTAGGGCAGAGGACACAGTTCACCTCGGTACCTTGAAAGAACTGTTCAGTTTCTTGGTCATGAGTGGCCATCAAACCGTCCTTCTTCAGCAAACCCACGGACGTCCTATCATCCCAAACAAGCATAAGAACTTTAACACCTTCACTTGCCTTCTTCTTGAGCAGCTCCCCAAGTGTAATGTCACCTCCGGGCTTTTGCCTCCTCGAGTCCCTCACCAAGGTTATTTCAGTATACACTGACCAGCCAGTAATATATATCAAGTGCTTTGCATTAATAATAGCATCAAAGATATCTTCCCAACATCTGTGGGGCTCATAATACTTCCCCCCAGAGAGAGGGATTTTAGGAATAAAATTGTCTGGCACATGCGCATCTTGATACAAGGAAACCCGACATCCTGTTCTCTGTGCAAAGAAAGTGTAAGGGACACCAGGATATTTAGAACTTCTAATGCCACGTTCCCAGTTAGGATCTCGACTGACATCAAAAAACTGTAGCTTCACGTGGATTTTGGAACCTTCTGCTATAGGATTCATTTCTCTATCCAGTATCTCAACCCATTTATCAATCTCTTCCCCTTCCAAAAGTTCTTCAACTGGTACATAAGCTCTTCCAATTAAGGTTGCACCAATGGGATTGTCATCTTTGACAGTGAATATAACATTTGAAGCCATATGTGCACAGTAAATGTGAAAAGACTCATACCACCTTGGATTGTTTGGTTCATTTTTTATCTTTCTGGTTCTTCCAACCCTAGCCTTTTCCAAATCAACTGTAGCATAAATTGCAGGAGTTCCTTTTCCAAAACCAATTGTCTCCTCAACATGTTCCTTTATCTGCAATGAGGATTCAAAATTTGTCATAAAAGAGGCAATCATTTCCTCAGGAAGGACTCTATTCTAGCCAAATCAGGATTAGAATTCCGATAAATCTTTATATCAAGAAAAATGGGTAGTAAAGCTCTTAAACATCAAACTACATTAAAAGAGAAAGCTGGCTATGTTTTATTGATAATGCATACAAATCATATACTCTACAGTCAGAGGATTACAGAGATTTATATCACCAAAGATCATTTGATGTTAACGAAAAAGATTCAGAACATATTTTTAGCTGAAAATATCAGGTGCCCAAAATGCTGGACTATAACATTGAACTAGAGTGTCCTGCTCCAACTTAAATCGCAGGTTTTATCCGCAATACAAACATATAATCTCCGGATGGCAGCAGTATTATCAAAAGCGAAAAGCGCAAAAAAGCTCTAAGGTCTGTTGGGGCTTTACGGGCAAAGCGCAAATAAAGCGTGGGATTTAATGAAGAAAGACGCAAATGGAGAAAAACTACAAATATGTATGTAATTTTTTTTGATTTGCACCGGGTGTCCAAGTCTCTTTGAGCACCAACTAATCTCGGGGGTGCACAGGCCCTCGGCAAGGAGTTTCCCGCAAGTGCACCACGGTTAATTCAGGTTTTTACCCAGTCCGATGGCCCTCAGAAATTGTTTGCACCCAGTGGGTTTCGAACTTGAGACCTTGAAAGGGAGCAAACCCCAAGGCTCAAGTCAATTGCCACCAGGCCAACCTCTGAGGGTTACAAATATGTATGTAATGTTCAAGACTAATATCTATAAGCATGATTGCCAAATATATGGGCAAAGAAACTGAAGAAAATNCCCGACTAATCCCGGGGGTGCACAGGCCCTCGGCAAGGAGTTTCCCGCAAGTGCACCACGGTTAATTCAGGTTTTTACCCAGTCCGATGGCCCTCAGAAATTGTTTGCACCCAGTGGGTTTCGAACTTGAGACCTTGAAAGGGAGCAAACCCCAAGGCTCAAGTCAATTGCCACCAGGCCAACCTCTGAGGGTTACAAATATGTATGTAATGTTCAAGACTAATATCTATAAGCATGATTGCCAAATATATGGGCAAAGAAACTGAAGAAAATTTACGACAAAGTGAAATATCAAATGTTTAGTGTCGCTACTTTAGGATTACGCCCATTGGCAAGGAAAATTATGCCTTAGAACCTTGATGACAATACTGAAACGTCCACTAAGCGAAGCGTTCAACATGTTTTGAGCCTCGCTTCAGGGCTTAAGCGCGCCTTTGATAACACTGAGATGGACCCTTTTACAACAGCTTTACTTTGCCAACCAGAAGAATGATTGAGATTAAGTACTTTCATAAAGCTCATATCTCTATATTCATCATATTATAGAATAAAGAGAGGAGAGAGGATGGACGAAGGGAACCAATTAGCACAAGAAATACATTATGTGTATTACTGGGTAAAGGTTTTTCTGAAGAAGATAGGGCATGGATAAATTTCTCCAGCAGCTTTAACCGTATGTTTTTCCATATCCTGTCTCTAATTCTGTATCATGAAACTATGCCTGCTCATATTCCACAAGCCTATGTTTGTGTGCTATTGACTTTGAGGAATTTAAAGAATTAGATTCATCACAAATTATACACTCCACATGATGATACTTGAAAGAGTAGAGAATCAATAAAATCCTTTTTAGCAGATAGATGTAACCAATAATTACCTTCTACAAGGCTATTTAACCTCAGGAAGTCGCCAAAATGCTAAAATTAACTTAACCATATATGTGAATCATGGACTCCTTTATATGATCCAACTGACTGTGCCTCATAATCCATTACGGCTTTATGGTGTTCTAAGAAAAGGCTTAAGTTAGGTGTAATCACATACTTTTAAGTCCAGAACTAGTGTAAAAATTTCACTATAACTTAGCAGCTAGGAAAAGTTACACTCTTTGTAAGCTTCATGGTATAGCCATAACTTATAATCAGCTCAATTAAGCTCATTGCACGAGGGGTCTAAGAGCAATGTAAAGAGACAAGGTTCGTGGGGCTTGAAGCGAAAAGTGAGAACTGAAGCACACATGTTATGACAAATATAAAAATTACCAGACATATACTAACTTAATGCTACAACAACCAAATCACAATTAAAATACTAATTTTAGCATCCAATTAACAATAATGTTGATATTTATCCAACCCATTGTTTTGCATCGGGATGGCTATGGCTTTTAATAACACTGTTTAAGAGTGTTAGCCAGAAAAGTACTAATTTTGGAACTGATCCAATCTTTCATACCTCGCACTCAATCTAGGCAACAAATAAGGGAAACAAAATTGAAATTGAATAAGATGGCCTTGCGATTCAAGTTGATTAAGAACAGAGAGATCATATGTATACCTTGCTGAAGAAGTGGCCACCTCCCTCTTTTTGCAGATTATCGACCTCGTAGATCGTGACATGGAGAGTTCCATGGAGCAGAATCTGAGCCATTTTTCACCTGCTTATTCAAAGATCAAAACCCCACATTATACCACTCCATAATACAGTTCACATCATAACACAAAACCCACAACAGTTAGCAAAATACAAAGTCTTTACTCAAAAAGCAACACAAAGTTGAACACAAGCCAATCAATCAAATATGTCTCCACACAATACAGAACACATTACCACACTAAACCCACAAAAGGGTACTAAAAGACAAGTTCTTTACTCAAAAAGCAACAGAAAAATGAAACATACAAGCCAATCGATCAAATATGTCTCAATTCTTAAATTAGTGGGGGTCAACTATATGAAATCTCTTTACTCAAAAAAGCAAAACAAAGTTGAACTCACACAAAACATTCAACTATGCCCGGATCCCAAATTACCTGAACACAAACCAGAAGTTGACAAAGATAAAAGCTTTGCGAAAACTGAAGTCAGAAAAAAACAAGTAAAAGAACAGAATGTTAAGAGAATAAAGAGATCTGAAATCTTACTTACACCCACGAATGTTAAATCGAAGCGTCGGTCAAGAAAAGAAGTGAGAATATGATCCAATCTCGCTTGTAAGGAGAGTAAAGGAATGAGGAGATTGATCCAAGAAAGTTTTTTATTTATATAAGAAAGTGCACAAAAAGCAGAGCTGAATGGTAAGAGAACGAGGGGAGCAGTACCTTTTTAATAGTATATCCTAGATTTAAGGACTGGAACGGATCTTTATGCTCTATGCAAATATTATACTACTATAAATACTCGAATTAGATCTGTACACTAGTTCACACCTAGTGGAGTTGAAGAAAACCAGAAAAATAGTCAATTGAAGATCATGAAAACCTTGTGCCTCTTTTTCTAGAACAAAAATCCTGAGTTTTTGCCTTCAAAATTGCACTTTGGAAAAAATTGTAAGATTGATCTCTTTTACACACTCCGTGTAATTTGATCAATTTTGACAGGTCACTTGTTTTTCTCTAGCCGTCAACTGTTTTTAATAGATATTTATCAGGATATTTATTTATAACGTACGAGTTATGTGCATTGATGATAAAAAAAAATCATTTATAAGAGAAATATTGATGAAAAACTTTATATCACAAACATTAAATAATAAAAAATAATATTATAAAAAGTTACTATAATTTAAAAACTTTATAATATCGGTATATATAATTACACAAATAATAAAATTTAACCTGTTATGATAGGTTATTATTCATGTTTATTAAATATGGTATACTGCAAGTATATTTAAGGACTTTTATTGGTATAAATATTTTATATCGTCCCTTAGAACTCAAACTCTATGTAAATTGAATTTTAAGTGATTTAACACATAAGTAGATTACTTTTTCCGGTCCAGTTTAATTAATTTTTTGATCATTTTTTTGTGGTTCATATTATTTAATTTTTTAGTATCAAGAATGAATTAATTTTTTTTTTTAAAACTTCACTTGGAGTAAAGAACCTAGAAGTATTTGTTACATCTTTGATAAATAAATTAAAATTAATATAGTCAATTTTAATGCTAAAAGTTGATTTCTTAAATAGCTAAAAACCAATTAAAGTGGATAGGATTGTTGTATTTTGAAGCACAACACTTATTGTAACGTTGATTGCTATGTTCAAAGAATATTATTGATCTTTTTTCCGAAACAAGACGATTAATTTTTATGTCCAAAGTCAAGAAGGAAAGAAGTAAGCCGTGTACAGTGCTTTAGCTTTTTTCTTTTCTCCACGTGTAGTGCCTTAGCATAGACCTAAAGGTTTACGCGTTTGTTTCGTCGACATGTCAAAAAGCCATTCCATGTTCACTGCTGATGCCTGATGGCATTAATATAAAAATGATAGTATAAGAAATTTTAAACTTGACTTTGGCATAAGGATTTAACACAGTCTTAAAAGATGGAATTTGGTTAAATTTCTTAAAGAATATTATCTTCAGGGTACACGAAAGCCTACGAAATCATTCCGAAAAGGGTCGTAAATGTAGTGCCAATTAATTGAGTTGAAAAGTTGTTAGAGGGGAGCCGAAAGATTCCTTCATTAACTGCAAAATTAGCCCAAATGTCCAATCAATCAAATCAAAGAAACTACCTACTATATATCATTGATGAAATTAGGGAAAATGTCCAAATATATTCCTGAAGCATGTGAAATGTGTTATAAATATATTATATTATGGATGTTTATTTAGTACTCCGTTATAAATAAGCTTCCTGAAAAAGTTTATCCATATGAGACTCCGCCATAAATATATTTATCTATTTAGTACTCTATTGGAAATAAGACTCCTGAAAAAGCTTATCATTTCGGTACTCCGTTATGGATAAATATCACTCATGATAGAAGATTATTTATATCTGGCACAACAGTTTAGAGCAGCAGCTTACACAGCAGTTTGCAGTAGCAGCTTACACAGCTTGCAGTAGCAGCTTACGTAGCAGCTTACACAGCAGCTTCCTTTCTTCTATAAATAGAGGAGAATTCAGTTCATTATGTACAGAAGTTTGAAGTTTGAATAATATATCAGTTTCTCTCTATACTTGTCTTTACTTTACAGTCTTTATTTTATAACACGTTATCAGCACGAGACTCTGCCATCTCGAGAAAATACTTTGAAAGTATCAGAGGTACGAACTTTCTTTTTCTAAATAATGTCAAATCTTTCTAAACTTGAGTTTGTAGCCCTGGATATATC